TAGGAGGGGTTCAAACAAACACAGTGGTTCAGGCAAAGTGGACAAACAGAAGTTGGTAAAAATTCAAAGATACAAATTGAAAGCATGAACGNACATTTTTTTTTGAATTTTGTTTTAATAAAGTAAATAAATAAAAATGGGCCGAAGTCACAAATAAATCAACAAAGTGCCGCACAGAAATCCAAAAATTGTACAGCAGGACCAATTTTTATTCTTTTGGAGCGACTGTCGCGCAAAAACAAAAATCACGTGCTCACAACTGTCAAATGTGTTACTTGCCAAATCTTCTGTTTATACCAACAATATTAAAAATGAACATGAAACTGGAAATTGTTTGTCTTGTTTAGCATGTCTATTTCTTGTTGAAAAGCATGAACTGACAAGCCCAAGTTTCTTGTTTACTTATTTATGAAATTTCTGATGTCATTTGAAAATATGAACATCATGCATGGACTCATAAGTTAGAATGGAGATGATCTAATCAGGGTTCTCCTCTTAAAACGTCCCTTTAGATCATCTTTGGTGTTTAACCAATTGTTCAGTAACCTGGAAAATCTCCCTGAATTTTGCGGGTGTCAGTGAGTTACATTCATAACAAGGGAACTGGAAGGGTTGATTCTTTACCAATCCATTGAAAGCTTGCATGCAGTGAATTGATGTTACCATAGTCATACTGGGTGGATTCCTGTATCCTCTTAATTTCAACTGCACATTTGGAAGCTAACAGAGCATTGACATCCTTCTATTACCAAGTCATGGTGTATATTTGCTGCACAAGTTATCATCTTGGTGACTGGTGAACAAGCTGAGTTAGTTTAGATCTCTCAATGATTGTCAATTAATTGCAGGAATCATTTCATCCCGTGGAAGTTTCTGATGGACTCTGGGTGGTGCCTGAATGGACAACTCCTCCAGTATGATTATACCTCTCTCTCCCTTTGTTCTGTTCACATGATACAACTGGTTCTACACTCATGCCGACAGTTCAAAGCACTATGTTAATACTCAATCGAACTTCCAATATTATATTCTCATGATGCTGATGTCTTTTCTTTTTTCTTTCTTGCTTAATTTTTTGGTTGTTGGTCATGAATCTGCATCTGCACATTGTCGTCTTTACTGCATAAGCAATAATTAATACGTCTAAAATATGTATGTGAATGTTTATGATCTGTAGGTATATGTATAAAGAGTGTGTGCTTAAATTGTAGGATCTTCAAGCAACAAATATAATTCTAAATCCTGGCTTGGCATTTGGAACTGGGGAGCACCCAACAACTAAGTTGTGTCTCCTCCTGCTGCGTGATTTGATAAGAGGGGGTGAACTCTTCTTGGACTATGGAACTGGTTCTGGTGTTCTAGCAATTGCAGCTCTTAAGGTACTTGGTTTTCTTTCAAAATATTTCCATTGAAAGCTGCTAACAAACTAATTCTTTATAAATCAGAGCTCCACCTAAAACTGATCCTTTACTCACTGAATCCAGGCCTTGCTACCAGAGGCGGATCCAGGATTTTAGGCTTATGGGTTCCTACCGTAATTTTAGATTAATATGCAATAATAATTGGGTTCACAGTTAGATATTTACAAATATTTAGTGAATTTCTTAATATAAATACAGGATCTACGCAAAAGTTACTGGGTTCCTGGGAACCCTATTCTATGCTCTAGGTCCGCCCCTGCTTGCTACTCTGTCTGCCAAAAGAATTGATTATGCTAGTGTAATAACATGCTTAATGGAACAAAGTTTGACACCAAAAGCTCGATGAACCTCAAAACTTCTGAAACTTGAATAGCGGAGATTTGGCTACAATCAAAATCCTCTGAATTATGGGGTGATAGGTTGGAAAGGGTGGTGGTACTTGGTGGCAAAAGACAATGTATTGAATTTAGACTTTGGGGTGGGGAAATGTGACAAAGTAGATAAGGAACAATTTTCAACTCCTATTTCCTGCTTTTATTGCTGGATCATTTTTGGGATTTTAAGGGCTTGATTCTTTCTTTCAATTCTGGGAAACGACTTCCCTTAGCCTTTTAATTGCATTTTTCACAAGTGTGCTGAAGTTGAGAAGATTGATTAAGGAAGTTTTGTTCTTTTATTGGATCTAACTTGGAAGAGAAGATATTCACCTTTAGCTGATTCAATATAATAGTTGGAGAAGCACAAACATTGGTACTGTGAACTACAACTTGATTTTTTTGAAAATAAAATTCTAAAAAAAGGATCCTGTGAAGTATAGCTTGATAAATTGACCTGAATCAAAATCAAAATTCTTACTTCCCAGGAGATTCCATCAAATTCATGGTCTATATCAACTTCGTCCACAACTTAAATCTGATATCCTTCTGAACATACCTCATGCATAGTGTTTTTTTTTCCACGTCACTTTACATGGCTCAGATAAAAGGTTTCCAGATGCTATCAACTTAGTAATAGTTTTGTATCATGGTGTTGCTAAATACTTCCATTGTCAAATATTTATGTGCAGTTTGGTGCAATCTTTTCAGTTGGTTTTGATATAGATCCCCAGGCAATTACATCTGCTCGATATAATGCTACTATAAACAACATTGGACATGAGAAGTTACTTTTAAGTCTTGTTCCTGGCAAAGGAAGTCTTCCCTCTGCAGATTTTGATTCAAGTATGGACATCGGTGAAACTGCCTATGATGCAGAAGTTTTAAATAAGATGGGAAACTATGACGTCGTTGTGGCAAACATACTATTGAATCCTCTGCTTGAGCTGGCAGATCAGATTGTGTCCTATGCAAAGCCTGGTGCAACTGTTGCTCTTTCAGGGATCATATCTGAGCAGGTATGGCCATTCTTTGTTATAATTACTCTACCATTTACCTAATTAAACTGTACAGAGCGAGGCTTGAGGGAACATTTGATAATTGATTTTCTCGTTAACAACAAAGAATGAGACAATACTATAAATAACGGCGCCATCTATTGCCCATAAAAAATAGTACCCAAAATAGAAACTAACGCCGTATACTGTATCCCTTACTTTTTTTCTTTTTTTTTGGGGG